TGATAAGGTTTTTATTTCTCTTTTTACCTCCTTTTTGGTTTTCACCACTGAGTTGAGTTGAGGTCCAAACTCCATTCAAATCCTTCATTTTTTTCTCAAAAGCAATGTTTTGTCGAAGTAAAGTTGCACAATTCTGCTAAAAGTGCGCTTTTCTGTGCATTTCATCTCTCTACAGTTTGACAGAGGCAACGAAGTAAACGCCCATCTTAGTAGTATTTACAGTGCGAGACCGCAATTGCAAAGAAACGTATAAATTAACAATCTATGTCAGTCACAATTACAAACAGAAGAATGGAAAGTTAAGAAAAAGCGACGAAAAAAAAGGGTGTATTGGCTAGCCTATTTCTTGTAACCTCAATATTTAAACTCGTCCAGTACTGTAATAGTTTTACCTCTTGCTTTCCTTCCTCTGCGGATTTCCACGCCATCTCCTGGGCTTCAGGCAAGACAGTTAGGGCATGAACACAGGCTTCCATCTTTGAGCCCCTTTCATTTGGACGTCGAGGGTTTTTCCGTCACCAACCATACTCTTGCTTATCTTCAGCACTTGAAATTTCTTATGACAGTCCGGTTTCTCTTTATAATTATTTGTCCCAAAGAGTTGTTTAAGGAACTGCTTGACTGCAGATCGGCAGCGACTTGAACGAATGTAGCAGATAAAAGGAATTACTACGCTCGAGACCCCGACGCTGTTACGAGCGAAAAACGGAACCCATTCACAGACCAGTTTACTTTCTCTTTCAAAAACGTTTGTTGCGAACACGACCGTAGGAGTAAAGCAGAAGAAGAAGGAAAAAATTATAATGGCGATAGTTTTGGCCGCTTTTTGTCTTCTCTCAGTCGAAGGTCAGCTTGAGAAGTAGGGAGGTTCATTTCCTCTCGCTGCAAAGAAAAAAAAAAGATGATTAGCGTTCGCAATGATTTCATTTTTGTGGCCAACGTGATAAAAAATGCTGATCAAGGCATTATTTTCTGAAAATCAGAAGAGGAAACTTAGTAACAGCACCCAGATACATCAACTGCTATTTGATTTTCAATGTATAGATTGGCACCAGCGAAGCAATCAGTTTTTGAACTTCGTGTATTCGCATGGTTAAAACAATGAGTAGTACGTTTTCGGTGATTAGATGGAAATTTTTTAGTTCGGACCGAACCAACCCATCTTTTAACATGAAGCTTTTAAATTATTCTCTATCTTTTACGCCTAATTTTGATAAAGTTTTCAAAGTGAAAAGCAAAAACCAAGAGTGAATAAACGTAGGAGGAAAAAAACCGAATTCATTGGATTTGTAATGAAGAGTTCTAAAAACTGGAGTTCTTTTTAAAATTTCAATTTTTTCAAGTCAAACTTATAGAAAAACTTTGCACTTTCGTTGTGCGTGTATACAAAGGATCTTCCTATTAAATCATGGTTGCCACGTACAAAAACGTGGTTAAACGTATTAGCGTTTTAGCTCGTGGTTATGGTGGAGCCTTACACGGATTTTTTAATTTTGTATAAACTCAAAAGCTCGGAGGTCAAACTACCAATAACCTTGAGCAAACCTAGCAGGCGGGTAACTGCGTCCTTTAAATCCAGTAGGCAATGTTTTGTAGTAACTAAATGATTGATAAAAGTGTATTCCCTCTTTCCTCGTCATCTTTTTATACTACGAACTGTCAAGCAACAGACAATTGCACTACAGGCTAGGAACAACGATATAGCTGCAGCCACAAAATGCTTCGATTGCTCGAAAATCTCTGCTCTGTATTCTGTGACATGAGAATGACCAAGATCGATATCAATTAAAGGCGCTACCAGCAGGGACACCAAGAGGATATAGATAAACCAGATCAGAATTACTAGGATCAAGGCCTTTTTCTTCGTCTGCCAGGCAACGCACCTCAAACCAAAAGAAATGGCCAGGTATATGTTTGTCAGCATGGTGAGCATGGATACGAGGTTCAGCACCGTAAAGAGTCAGTTGCAACTGCAACTAAGGATTGCCAAAGTCTTACCTTAGAACCAACGAGCCTCCCATTCGTAGCTGATCGTGTACAATGGCATGTTTATGGCTCCACTGAGCAGATCCACGACAGCAAGATTGGCGACGAAAATGTTTGGAACTGTTCTTAACGATTTAAATCGAGCAATGAGCGCGAGAACAAGACCATTAGCAGGCAAACAGGCTAAATAAAGAACGCTTGTCAGCACGCTCATCACAACCTTAGCTGAAAGCGGTTTTCCTTGGGAAATTTTGATTTGGTTTCAAAAAACTGAGTCAGCAAAATCCTCACCCAAGTGAAAAAAATACAAAAGTGCAGTTGTCAAAAGGAAGCTTTAAAAAAATATATGAATGTGGGAATGCATAAGAGAAAACAACAAAACATATCAGGCGGTGACAGTTAATGTTGACATTTCTTTTCTCCAACATCGAACTCGTAGTTAAGCGATCAAACTACTCTTTCAAAGAATAAATCGTACGGAAGATCAACAGACATACGCAAACAAAAAACTATTAATCGGTAGATGCAGTTGTTAATGTATTTTCCATCCTTTATTTCACATATGGCCGTAAAACACCATCTATGACTGTGTTTAGGGGAAAGGTATAAAATTATTCACAAAATGAGAGTAAGGAACCAATGACGTCACTTTTCTGGCCAAAAGACTGGACGGCAATTCCTGATTGATATACACCTCTTCCGCCGTAGTTCTCCTTCAACTTTAATTTTCTCTCAAAAACTAAATCTTTCTAACTAAGCGTCCAGTTCAAACTATATAAAGCTATAATCACAAACTAAAATTTAGTGATTTGCTGACAACTTCACCCATTTAATTACGAAACAGAAATACTAGACAGTCACGTAAAGATTAAAAAAGATGGAAATTTCATATTTAAACAATGAAAACTTAACGAGGCATCATACCTACCACAAAAAATGCATCAACGAAAGTTAAAAATCACGTTTCCAACAGCTGCTGCTTTTTGCGACAGTTTTATGAAACAGTTTTCGTTAATGAAAGTCTAAAACTCAAGCGATCAACTCAATTAAAAAAACTAAACGACACACCTACTACTAACATAAAACCCTCAAAAAATTTTTTTTTTTTTTTAACAACTGCTGTCTCAGTTCGACGACGTTTTTCATGGAACATTTTTCGTAAATGAAAGTCTGGAAAAATGCGAGTTATCAAGTCGTGATTGGTTTCCCTTTTTTTATTGAGGTTCAAAATTTGACAAAGCTTACTAGAGAAGTTACACTGTAAGTATACTTTCTGTTAACTAATTCACTGGTGACTTGCACTCTACTGATTGATTTTAACGTTCACTTTACAATTTTCTCGTATAAAAACACTCACTGAATCATTTACATGGAGCTCTTGAAGGAAATTGTCCTTGATTGCAAGGATTTACTGTGTTACAAGTACGGAGATGTAAAATGAAGCGGTCGATATGCAGGATTGACGGTACGAAACGAGATGAAATTTAGTTATAACCTCCGTTTAGCTGAATCTCAAATAATATTTTTTTCACTCATTTCTATGAAACGAAATGAAAAATGAAAAATGCCATGCATTAGACACATTACGTAACGAACTAGAAATTAATTATCAATGACAATTCACGAATATAATCAATCATAGAGACCAAGCAGGTCATGACTATAGTAGTGCTCCCTTCAAAGAATCTAAAAATATGCTGGTAGTGGTAATTAAATAAAGAAACAAAAAATTATAGTCGTTTTTCCAATTATACTTAAAAAACACGCCAGAAAAATCTGTAAGGGCTGAGTGCCATATGTTTTGACGCTTGCAAAAAATATTATGCATAAAATTGAATTAAAAAAGGTTATTAAGCAGTCGGAAAAAATGGAACGCCAACATTTCATGGTTGAGATGAGAACATTTCATCAATTATTTTCTGTTAATAAAATGCTTTTGCATCTCTAGCTTCTTACACCTTGTCTGAAACACATAAGTTCTACTTTAATTTTTATTTTATTTTGTTTATTTATTATATTTTATATGTAGCCTGAATATGTCAGTAAGTCTTCGATAATTATCATTATTATTTTATCACAATAACAATCTCTTCACAAAATGTATTCTTTTTTTTCCATTTGTTTCCTTTTATTTCAATCATTGAAGAAAATTTATGAGATAAATTAATTATCACGAGCGCCTTGATTGGTTAAAAACTTATTGTTTCTTGAAGCATGTTGTGTTTTGTTTCAAGGTATATATCAGAGAAACAATAGACTACACTCTCTATCCGTTTAACAGCGTAACAACCCACCTAGGATGTTGGGAAAACACTCCAAAAGTGATTTCAAACTTTCTCGTGTTCTCTCAGCATCTCAGATGGTTTATGACGACGGTAAATGGATAGAAAGCGTGATGTATTCCTTAATTAGTTCGTGTTCTCACAACTTTTCATAACTGAACGGTGGTAGAAGTCATAAAGTGTTATTATTTGGTTTGTAAGGGGAAATATAACAACAGCGTAGTCAGCTTTTGAAAATTGTTGTATGCCTGTTCCCTGAGAAAACCCGGTAATACGCTGCACTGGATTGATTGATTTATTTATCTATCGACAGTACCACTTTCTTTACTAATTTTTTTTTAATTTTTATTTTTCACATATCCTGACCTTGAAAAGTAGAAAACACCATGACACCGAAACTGCCAGTTTGGTACCTGTCTTGTACATGGTAACCAGTGTATGGTAGGGTAGCATTTTAAGAGATTTGGAAGAATATTGCCCTAGTGTTTTAACTACAAGAGATTTATTGTTGCTGCTTCTTTTCTACTTGAAAACTCTATTAAACTCTATTTGAGAGCTCCATTTTTGTTTCAACATTTGCAAGAGTTAAATCATAAAATTCAAGCAGGCGAGAAAAAATTGTAGGCCCGAGCTACGTGCGTACGGGCGGGATACGCCCCTGAATGATTTCGCATGATACCATTGGTTGTTCAAGAAATAGCAAGAAATAGTTCCTTATTATCTAGAGATGATCTAATCAGTGCCACAGTATCTTTGGCAGCCTCCTGATGGTGCGTTGTGTAGGTAATACACAAAGAATGAGCCACAGTTTCGCACTTGAATAGTTGTGGTCTTAAAGGCACAATTATCTATAGAGCGAAAATTAACCTTCCTGGATACCTTGCCGTCTTCCATGCGGGGATGGCCATCTTTCAACCATCCAGGTCTAAGGGTACCACAACTTTTCCAGGAAATGCATTTAGTAGGCATCACCTTGCCTGCGGCTCCTTGAAACCGGAACCATCCAGGACCCAACTTATTATCGCACAGTCGATCTTCTTTTGATGTTGCCAAATATTTTGTATTTCTTGTTTTAGTTGTCAGAGACTTATAGTTTTGACATTCTGAAATAACAAAGCGGAAAACCAATGCGTTCAGAGTCACCTAACCCAGTGCGCAAATCCTTAACAGAGGCATAGAGAGCGGGACACTTGATTAGAAACACCACATACAGCGGTAAAAAAACATGACCGTCAGTGATTTCAATGATCAATTTTTACGGTTAAATGTTCGAACCCGCTTCCCCTACTTCTAACCCGATAAGTAATCAGTTTTCCTGATTTTCTTGGTTTTGTTCTGTGAATAACCACTCAATATGGCTCAAACCCAGGGGAAATTTTGAAAGAAACCTCTATGTACTTGTTGGTAGTATTTGTTTGTATTGCCCTGAGACTTGTCACTAGGGGGAGAAGTTCAGAGGCTCAGGGGCGGATTCAGGATTTTTCTTAGAAGGGGAATTTATCTCTAAGGAATAGCGTAACGGACGCCTTCTCGACCTGACGACTAAAAGAGCTAATGCTCAAGACGTCAGTGCCAAACTATAAATTTTTAAGGCGTTTAACAAAATTCTTCAACCTCGTCTCATGTTTTACTTCAACATCAATAAACCATATAGCCTTTTTCGTTAATTTATTGCTCTATTTTAGTCGTTTAAGAAAGACACATGTGGGGGAAAGCGTGTGCACCCCTTACGTCCCCCCCTCCTTACATCCACCCTAGTGGCTTTTGTTGAAATCATTGTTATTGTTTTTTAAAGCTTCTGTTATAGCTTCTATTATAGGATTTGCCTATCATCGGCAGTGCCATTATCATCATATTCACAAACGCTATCTTAATCATGGTGAATGTGAGGGAGGGAGGGGGGAAAGGGTTAATATGAATTCATCTCATTTCGGTTCCTATTCATCGCATTGATTAGTTACATAAACACTATTGTTACTTACCTTCAGGAATACAATTAAACCCGTCTCCAAGGTAGCCTGAATTGCAAATACAAACGTATGAACCTGCAGTATTTTTACAACTGGCGTCATTGTGGCAACTGTGAGAACCTTCTGTGCATTCGTCAATATCTAGTAAAGATCATACATTAATCAGTTGATGCACGTGGGTCATGCCGTTTTCATTTGAGTAGTTGAAGTGGATGTATACGAAAGATAATAGAGCGTGTGCACTCCCGCACCAATTCCTCTTAGATCCACGCTAGTGGCTTGTGTTGTTAACAATGTTCATTTTTTTTAAAGCTGCTGTTATAGCTACTGTTATGGATTTGCCTATCATCAGCAGTATCGTTATCATCATTTTCACAAACGCTATCTTAATCATGATGATTGTGCATTCGTCAATATCTAGTGAAGATCATACATTAATCAGCTGATACACGTGGGTCATGCCGTTTTCATTTGAGTAGTTGAAGTGGATGTATACGAAAGATAATATCTAGATTTAGCCAAGCCTAAAAGTGGAGCTCTTGTTAGGTTTTTTTTTTCGAGCCCTTCGCTATAATGAAAACTATAATAAAACTCTTCGGCACTGGCTGTCGAAGATGTACTGTATGATGTCAGCCCTAGTTGAAATTATGTTCTATTGAGTGTGACTGACAATTTCCGTCTGGGAAAATGAACCAAAATTTAAAGAAACGACGGTAAACAACTTCGATTTAAGACATCACTGGTGGATTGAAGAGTATATAAGTGAGAACAGTGCGTCAGTAAAACAATACGCCAGAATCGCATGGAGTTCTCTCTTATATCTTCTCTTGAAGTTGCCAAGTATGACTGCATGTTCAACGGTTTTTCCCTAACGTTTCAACTTTCTCTGGCAAGCGTAGAAAAGTAGAATTCAACACTTGTTTAAACTATTCCCCTTTTTTGTTTGTTTTTACTTTTTCTCTATTGGCTATTCTCGTTAATGATTGTTCTCTGGCTAGAAATACACGGCGTCTTTTTTTAGAGATTTTTCTTTTATGTAATTCGGTAATCTCTGCTGTAACTGCATATAATGTTAGTGTCTTTAGGCTAACTGTCCACAATCTTAGGGTAATTTAACGTGATCAACTGAGTTTAAAACGTAAATTGGCCACCGTAAAGAGTTAAAAGACTGACGTTTCGAGCGTTAGCCCTCCGTCCATCGCTCTGCGTATACTTTCCCACCGAGGCAGCACCACAGTTTCTTTAGAAACTTACCCCCTTTATCCATTTGTCCGTAATCATATCAACTCAAGGTACTGAAATACGAAATTTGTCTAACGTGTTTTTTGCACTGCGAAAGTTTGATTTAAAGCAAGACAAGCTAGAATTAGAATGTCATCATTAAACTTGATGGCGAAGAGAGACTTAGGATTCGATCATAAGGATATTGGTAAAGATGAAACCTGGATTGCATTTGTACATTAGAGAAATCAATCCCAAACTTTTGTCAAGTTTTCGCTGTAGTTTAAAAGTCGAGTGGATGTTGTTATTGGCTATATTGCAGAGGTTCAAAAGTTTTAGATGGTATTCTCTTATATTTGAAAATAATTAATGTTAACATGAAACACAACAATACATTTTATTGATATGCAAAAGTTTTCATCTTATCTACAGGCAAGTCTTTGTATTATAATTCAACCCAACCATTTTCCACAACTTGTAAACACCATCACAAATAATTAATAAGGGAAATAGAAAATTTGTGGCAATTACACCATGTCGAAAATGCCATGTCCAGAATAAGCTAACAGGATTGACGAGGCTGTATGAGGGAATAGGCTAGCTTGTTTGTGTCATTAATTTGCTAATCGCTCCTCTTGCCAATGTTTTGACGAGGAACTTAGGATTTTAGCAGGCCAGCAGTTCAAAGGGAATCTGACTTTTTCAAAACTTGAACCTGAAACCTATCCTCGTGAAAGCCATACTTGTGCCTGGTAACTCATTCTTATTCTGATAAACTAGATTTAAGAAGGATACAATATTTTATTATATAAATTTGATGTATATGCTGTGCGCAAAACTTTAATTTGACTATACTTTTAGAGCCATGACCAATCCCTACACATAATAAAATATTAGTGAAAAGAAGAATGTAAAATTTGGTTGAAAAATAGGAAATGAAATGTATAGCGATGAAAAAGCTAAGCAAACTTTTTCATGACACTTGCCAGTACCTGTACGGCACGTAATAAAGTCATTCGAATTAGTCACAATCCTGTTTTTTTTTTAATGTTGAAAACACGCGCGCATAGAGATTTCCTTTAAAACTGCAGTTCAAAATTTTGATGCACACCTCAAAAGCAAAACAAAGAAATTTTAAGTTTCTATTTATTCAGTTTAGGTTTTTTAGGTAAAATTGAGTCAAACTTTCATGCGACGGCAGGATCAAGAAATTTTCGCATCTAATTCATAAGGTAAGCCTACCTGGAACAATAACCTTCGCGTACACATTAGACCAGGTTTGTATTGATAATGGGAAAAATCACTGTTTTACAAGAAAATAATGACCGAGAATTTGTAGCAAACCACAGCCCAAGGTCTGCCATTAGTTTTAAACTTAAGAAAGTGCTTTAAAAAGAGAACTTTGCTCATGCACATAGTATGTGATTGTATATATTGGATATAATCATTGGTGAGAAACCACATGCACTTTTGAAAACTTGAGCAAGAGTATTTAATGCAATCTAAATGATATTACATGTTACAATGTGATAACTTACACAGCAAAATTATATAAACACAAAATTTCAAACAAAGGAAGTCAGGTTATAGACTCACTTGCTTCAACTTTTGAGGGCTTAAGGCACAGGGAAAAAGATATGTTAAACAGTAAAAAATAACACAAAGTTGAAAGTTTGAAAGCTAAAAGATACACATTAGAATCATCAAACCATATGCATCCTAGCAAACATAGGGTCAATTACCACCATAACTTCTCCCAAACATTCGTACTCACAGGAAATCATTAGTTTTTGTCACAAGGTGGTACTATACTAACAATAGTTCAACCAACACAAATGCACTTTTTTCAGTTATCTCATGGTATGTGTCTGTACAGATCATGTGGAAGATTCCTGCATGGGACTGACATTTCAATTACCACAGCAAACTGTAATCATCAGAACTGCAAGCCAAGGTATATTTAGCAAGTGCTCAAGTCTTCAAATTAGTCTTGTTGTTACAGTCAAGAGCTCTCCTTTTAGAGGCTATCTTCAGCTTGATCATCCTGTTACAAGTGAAAACAACAAATGTTACTCGCATATTCAAATGATTACTTAGATCAAAAACGATAATTTTTCGATAACCTGCTTCCTTTCATTATGCTCCAGAAATAGTAAATGGCATTGAAGAGAAAGGAAAAAAGTTCTTGAAACATTCTATGTAAAATGAAAGTTCGTTATGAATGTTAATTACGACGGCAAAAAAACATCTGTGAAGCTCTAATAACAATTACCTTTCCATGTAAACAAACCACAATGAAACATGGTAAGAATAGATTTAATCTCACCCAGTTTGAATGTAGAATCCAAAATCTAATTAACTTACCGGTGAATTCAATCAGTTTTATATATGTACATTATTTTTTTAATACATAATTGCTGTAAATGCAAGTGCCTCGTAAACAGCATTCTATCGTCTTCTATTCTTCCACCTTGGAGGGTGCCTTGTGTACATAAAATTAAGGTTCAGTGCGTCTAGTAGCCTTTTTTGGCTACAAAGATCAACAATGAACAGCAGCCTTACCAAAATATAATTTTTTAAGACATCTTTACAACGACGAGGTATGATGAAATTAAATTACTGCGTGAAACTTAGTGTAAACATGAACATCGCTGACTCAAGCTCATCTTATTTCAGTTGTCGGGAAGGCCATTTCTTCATTCTTGGGGTAAAACAAAACATCTTGGACAAGCGCGATTTTTTAAAATGAATAAAGTAAAATATGCGATTGTTAACTGAAGAGAGAATGATAGAGACTTGCTCACGTCGTTTGCCATCATAAGAAAACTTTTTAGGCAACAAATAATTAGCAAGATAACTTCTTTTCCCTAACTACCATGACTGTATTAAACTTTCCAAGCGATAGGTCAAGAAATGACTTAACAAACACGAACACTTTGAAATGATATTCAAGCGATGAACCGGCGCGAAGGTTTTAAAGCGTTGAATGCCAAAATTTTAACCGAAGCGTGATTTGAATTGTGAACTGAAGCTAGTATCAAACGACGATTGGTAAAAAAACGATTGAATTTTTCTGGACCTTAGCGTAAGAGAAAACGGAGATAAGACTCAACTTACCTCCTCTTCTTTCTCTGATCCCTTGTAGTTCACTTTCTTCTTGTTGATGACTTCTTTCCAGTCTATTTTCGAGAGCTCCTTATATTTCCTTCACACGTGGTTCTTCTCTAGATATTCGCCTTTTTACTCACGCCTTTTCTTGTTCTGTTTCGCGTTCCTCTGCCTGTATTTTGCCTATTTTAGCGTCCTTTCTAACTCCGCGTTTTCTCGACTCACTTTACGCCTTTTACTTCTTGTTTTCTTTGGTCGCTTTGTCTCTTCCTTTCCAGCTTATTTTCACTTTCTCCACGAACTTGAATTATAACAATGTCTTGCGGTTGATAAAGCTTTAGCTCTGCCGATATTGTTGCTTTGCAAATTGATAAGAAATTTCAAATACTGAGAATTAATGTTCCACTACAACCTCACCAGTATAATTTCCCGCACAAAACTCGGGTTGCAAATTATTTGCATGGGCGGCTTCACATCAGCTAGCCCACGTGAAGCCAACTTGTAATCCCTAACCGTGTGCATGCGGTACGCTGCACTAAAGCTAGGCGCTTGAGTATGCGCAGTTTATTGTCATCTGCATCCAAGTTACGCACGTAATCGCGCCTGCGCATTACCTTCTCCCTCACCCCTCCATTACGTAATGGCTAAAATAGTGCCCGCAATGCAGTTGACCCCGCATGCTAAAAGTAGCACCTTACGTAATTTTTTCGGCTTAATGAGCTACTTCTATTTCCTATAACTATGGGGCTACGCTTTGCGCGCTGCGAGCTCCGCTATTATTTAATTTGATTGGTTAGTAATACAGTTGATGCAGGTGATCAGTTAGAACTACAGAGAGGAAAAGGGGTACTTTTGCCCCTTTATGAGACTTATAAAACTCTAAAAAATAATAGTTGTACTTCTACTGCTACTACTACTACTACTACTAATACTACTACTACTATTACTACCACTACTACTAATAATAACAATAATAAAAATAAAAACTACTGTGTTGATTGAATGGGGTTGTTTTGACTGGATGCTCACCGAAACTTCCATGGTATAGATGTATTTTGATCTTCACGGTGTTCGGAAGTTTATTTATAATATGAAAACCTATATTGAAATTTTTATACGTATATCAACAGTAGATAATCAAATGATTTTTCTCGTCCAATTTGAAAAAAAAAAGACACCTGAAAGTTTTCTCAAAGACTACATAGTGTACTCGCCCTTCATAAACAAGCTCGTGTAATTTTTTTGTTCTCTGAAGAAGAAAAACGTCTGCATATTTTTTGAAAACCGCCCTCGAAATTATGTGATTAATAATGGTAATAGGACTGTGTGGAGTCCAATTCGGTCTATAATAATCACAAAGCGGTCAGGAGAGGTGGTTGTTGCTATGATTCTTGTGATCAATTCTGTGATTGGTAGATTTAGCTAAGTCGACTTAGTATGATGGGCTGCTTCAACTATCCGATTACAGTCAACTGTCCGATTACAATTGTACAGAATGATTAGTGAAAAATAAAGCAGATAATGCACCAATCACATTAGGGCAAATTGTAATGATTATGATTTTAAAAAAAATTAAGACAAAAAATGGACTAAAGAACAGAAAAAAGAAGAACAGCCCTAACGATTGCTAGATTGTACCTGATGTCTCAGGAAAATGAATTTTACATCCTAAAACAACTCAAAAAACAAAAGAAAACAAAAGCAAAAAAACAAACGAAAATTCAACCCAACCGAGTGATATCTCAAAACGTATGTAACAAGGGAAAAATAACTCATCTGTTGGCGATTGAAAAAGACTCGCGGTATGCAATCTAAGCCTCGCGATCCATATCGGAAGTGACTGAATCGTGGCACTTCATTTCAAACGTATTCCCAACCTTTCTTACTTTATCAGTGAAGACACAGAAAAAGGTGCTACATAAAAAAAGGTTGACATATCACCTGTTTTGCATAGGCTTCCAGTCCATCCCGACGAATTACACGCGCACGTGTATTTCATGTCCCCATTAACGCACATGGCGTGTTCTGCACATTGATGCTTGACGCAGTAATCAGCAACTAAATAAAAAAAGACATTTCTCTAATAATGATTTAACAACCATGTCATGAATTTCTCGACCTGTTTGGTTTTAAGAGGCATTTTCTCCGAGCTTTTCAACCCTATTAAACAAAGATAGAGAGCTTTTCTTGCGAAGGGAAAAACATATTCTCATCGGCCCTAAGCACACCGTGAGTTATTCCTTTCTTTTTACTCTATGCGCCTTCCTCCGCACGTCGATGGGAGAGAACTGCAAGAGTCTCTAAAGCTTCCAACCGACATTTTATTCAAAGGGACTTAAGCTGTAACCACCGTCTAATTGACCAAGAGTAAATAAGTAGGTGATAATCAATATGTCTTTCCCTTCTGATCCTCAGTCTAATATGTAGTCTAGAACCGGAATGCACAATAGGAAACAACATGACAAGTGCAATTTGGTTTTAATAAGCACGAATACATTTTTCAACGACGACAAAATTGCACAAGTCCGTTGAGCGAGTGCAGTTTATTGCCTTCGAAAAATTTACAAGAGCTTATTTACACCAAATTGCACGAGAAATCATGCTGTTACTTGTTAATAATTCACATGAAAAAATGCATTACAGAAAGTCAAGGTAGATGAAATTTTGACTGCACATGCGCGCTATTTGTTACAACACGCACCCGTGTTACAACTCTACACGTTTTCAGCCAATCAGGAACACGCAATTTTCCATAGATAACATCAATTTTAGAATTATGAACCACGCCAGTCTTGTTTAACGTAGTGTCAGTACTGTTAATAATGTAAGCATTTTTCAGTAACGTAAGGGCGAAGTACCATAAGCAATATTAGTATTAAACTAAAATCAGTACTTTTGAGTTTTTCTAGATATACTTCTCCTTACTTTCAGTTTCCATATCACAATAAGCTAGAATGGAATTTCCCGATCGTATGGGATCCAACCAGTAATTTCCGCTGACCGCTTGTTCTTGTTCACTGGCCTTGATCTCTTTGCATGAATAAGCTGGCAGTTCAGGAATGGAAGCCAGGGGAACTGGAATAAATTAATCATACTTGGTTTATTTTTATGGAAAATAAAAAGTGATGATTATCATACACAATAACGAAGAAGATCAATACATTTAGTGTGCGTCTTGGAATTGTCTGCTAGTATTCTGCAGCAGTTTCCAAAATGTGCACCTATTAAAGAAAACATTATGCTTTTCGTTTCGATACCTCTTTCAGAAACTTTGCCAAAGTGATATCTGTTCTCGTTCTTGATAAAGTCCTCTGGCCTAGCCTCTTTGCTTCTGTTATTTAACTCGCATAGGTTTTCAAATATCACCACGTTGTAGCTTTGACATCTTATGTCAGCGAGGCAGGCATGTCTACAGTCGAGCGAACCTGCTTGGGCCTTAAACGTCTTAAAAGTGTGGCCCTTCAGCATCATTTGATAAATTGAATATGAATCTATTCTGCACCGTTGGCTTGCATGGTTTTGAAGTACACTAGTCAGCGAAACCAGCACAACCATGAAGACAATATTCTTTCGTAGCATTTGTACCTAGAAAGATCTGAGAAGTGATCAAAAAATTATAATAATAATAATAGCGGATATGTTGACTATAAAATGGGAGACATCGAGAGAAAATGCGATGCTCTCTTGTAAATATCCACTTCGTCTAACAGAAATTGTTCCACTAAAGCATGTTAAGGCATGGCTTGAAGCCTAATTAGCATAAAATCTCAAAACAATAATAACTTTTCAGACTTGGCAACAATATCAAAAGTGATAACCTTAACTTGATATTTGCTGTAAGTGATTAAAACTTTGGTCTCGTGACTATTCATCTTGCTTTGATTGGATAAAAAGGAAATTCAAAATCGGGTGTCGAAATGGCCTGTAATGAATAACAATAACAACGTTGCTGAAATTCGATTGTTGGCCCCTTTGTGATTCTGGCCGGAATGATTGACGGGGATTTACAGTTAAAGAGATAATGAACCAAACATGTCACGTGACATAATTTGTCTCTTTTAAGACAGAAATAATGTTTCTTCATAAAAGACAAAGAATAACCGACATTTAACTTTTAACTTTTGTCAAACATTCCTACCCAATTGAAATTAAGCTATTTAAGCACGTTAAATTGCGTTTGTTGCGTATGTTTGGCATTCTCAGGGTCAAAGCAAACATTGTTCATACAGAAAAAACGTTAAAACTTCGAGGGGGGTCTTAACTAAGAAAAAAGTCATGACTGAGCAGAACTAAATAACTGTTACGTAAGGTTATTCTCAAGTTTTACGATTGCCTTCTCAAAAAAAGAATCTAAAACATTGTGAACGGGCCTTTTCGAGAAAAGTACCACAGACTATAAATCATTCAAAATTATAAGTAAGTAAATTATAAGAGTAAGTTTTTATATATTTTGATGTTTCCTTTTCTGAAGCGAAGGATGCCGGCCGCCATTCCGTCGTATTCCTCAAACGTCATCTCTGACGAAATATAACTGCATGGTGTCAATTCCAGAGATCAATGTTAAAAGGTTGTCCGCATTTTCCTGTATTCCTGAGAGATTTTTTTTTATCAATTGTCAGGTCCGAGTTTTGAAAAATTTGCAAACAAGCTACCGAGGCCGCCAAGAAGAAATAATCTCATTAAAATATAAATTCTAATATTCTTTACTTCTCATTGGTTAGTTAGGAGGGTCTTAATGGGGTTTTGGCTTCTAAGGCTAACGGCTAAAAATTTTGGGCATTTTACGGCTAACGGTTGATATCATTTCCATTGTTGCCACCAGAAATTTTATTTACGGTTAACTTTTTATCTTTGTCCCACTATTTTCTTTGTTAAACCAGACCACTACTAAGTTTGCACTTTTTTATTCCTTGATTTGTTTTTATTTTTTGCCAAGGTGTTTTTTTTCTCCGTTGCTCATCTTCAAAGATGAGTTATTGACTCATTTACTTTTGAAAAATAAAGCGCTCAAGTTGAAGTATAATCTCCTGGTCAAGCTATTTGCCGCGAAAAGATCATAACACCTGTACAGTTTATTAACCTTTCTTAGGAAAATACATTTTTCAAATTATTCGGGCATGTTTTCAAATCTTAAATTTTTGGGAGTAACTTATGTAAGGAGTAACTTATGGTTGTCCGAAAATTTTCACAGGCACCTGCTTGTTGACAAAATAAAATTATTCATCAAATCTTAGTTGTTGTTGTTGTTGGTGATGATTGTTTTCTTTTTGTTGTTTTGTTGTTGTTTTTTTTTCATATCAGAAAGTAGAGAACTTAAGTAGAGGCGTTTTCGAGACGTGGACAATAATCGGAAGAAAATGAAAACTAATCCTGGCACGCTTGAACGCCAATGTGCCGACCTTAAGGTCTTCGATCGTCTCGTTATTTGCAATTTAAACAAAACTGTGTGTACCAAAATGCTGTTATGAGCGCAAGAAATGAGAACCTTTGACTTCAGACTGCCGTCCACCTCTCAACAACGTTTGTGCTCAAGCTCCAAGGCTATATTTTGGACATCGACTCCATAGGCAGTGATGAACAAAGTAAACAATTCAATACCCGCCTTATTGGATTAGCTCTGTTGGTATCAAAAATTAGACTCCTCACGACATTTTACAAATGTGTGAAAAATTTCTAGCCAAAGCAGCCAACCGACAATTATCTGTAGTTTGATGGCAAAGCGTCCACCAAGAAAATCGTTACACTTCTGGTTCGGATTCCTCTTGGGAAATAAGCTCAGATTTTTTTATCTAGCTAATCTTTTTTTTTCACGCTCTCTGCTTGTAACAAATGTTAGGCTTTTTTTCTAAAACACAACGTCTCCTTATATCTCCAACATAAGTGACAATAATGATATTTTACGCGAATTAGAGAAATACAGGTATTACAAGCCATATTATTAGAAAAAAAGATTATAAGATAACACAAGATTGTCGCAAACGAAACAAAACAACGAGAAGACGCGCATAATTGATGATGTAATCGACCATAAACCTGTAAAAACATACTCACTTTTCCTCAGGGAAGAATTCTGTATTAATCCAGATCTTAACAAAGCCAACCGTAACTAAAGCTGAAAATTATTCATCAGCTAATAATGCTGAACATCGGAAAGTCAATCTAATGTCTCGTGTGCTGTTTGCAAAGGAAATGTCTCCTTATTGACCTTTCTTTGTCCAATTTGATAATTATTCAACATTTCGTGTTTGCATGATTGTCTTAATTTACTTTCAGAGCAGGTGAGAGGCACTCTCTTTTCTAATCCTTTTTTATGTAAACAAACTATTGAACGCCAAACGCAAAAGACAATACCACTATAATTTACTGTTCTTCCCTATAATGGAAGCTGTTACCAAAACATTATTGTGACTTTGGCACCCCGGAGCTTCGATTAATCTTTAGTATCAGATTTGACATAAAATGTTTCTTTGCGTGGTGTCTCCCAACCTGGAGTTTTTCAATCAAAATACAGTGCGGAAAATAAATTACCCCCCATCCAAGAACTGAACCTTTTTTTTTTTTAGTAAAACATGACATCTAATTTCTGACTGAGGTAGATTTTACAAAATGAACTAGTTATTAAATGGCCATATTTATTTGGACGAAACTTCACGAAATTGGTTGAAACATCATCGTCTTACATTCAATATTTCACTTTAAATGAGTTTCATAAATTCATCTAGAACAGATGAATACCTTTGAATTTTTAGACAAAGTTAAAAGACATTACCTATACTGTTATTTCGAAATTACTACTAGGATGATTTAAATCAAGATTTAAATTTTTAAAGAAGAACAAACGATTCCTTTCCGCTAAAACTCCGAAAAATGAATTTGGAATACATAGCCTTTCGGTGAAAAAAAAAACTCAGTGTCAAAAAAAAAAAAAGACAAAAAAGAAAAAAACTTTTGTCATAAAAATTGAAGAACTACAATACAAAAATCACTTGAAAACTAAATTTTTCACTTTGAATGCTTTCATCTCGGCTAGTAAAGCAGAAGATAAACTGGGTTCGCAGTGTTCACACAGCGAAGCCCCATACATATTAATGATAGTAAGCAATCAGACCGAAAACATTTGGTCTATCACGTGACCATACATCAGTTCGCACAAGCTTTCTTACCCAGCATGCGCGAACAACTATATGGCGGAAAAACATCTTGGCATTCCGTATCAACAATAAATGCCAAAAGATTAAAGATGGCATTTAAAAAAAAGGTTTGCGAATGGCTGGCATACACACGGAAATGCATGATGCAATGAAATTACAGATTCTGTCAAATGCTATGACAATAACTAGGCTATCATAGTCTACTTACCTGTGTGACTTCTCATTGTTCACCCGACAAAAAGCATTCTGGACAAAACTATTATTCTAAGATTCCACTTCCAATTTTTCTAACTTGCTTTTTAAAATTAACCTTTAATAAATTTATGCCAGCAGTTTATGGAATTAAAGAGAGTAAAATGCTACAAAAAAATATATAAATATATATATATATATATATATATATATATATATATATATATGTATATATATATTTATATATATTTATCTACAACTCAGCTCACCGCATCACGATACACTGGAATACAACACATAAAGTTACAGTTTTATATCAATTATGTGTTTTGCTGTTAAAATTTGCCTACTAGTACACGCAGGAAGATGATTACTTGCATAGTTACCATGAGTGCAATTATACTTGAACATCACTCGATCCTTCACTCTTGGAGAGAGTCTTGTGAATCAATTTTTTCAAGACGGGTAGCTTCAGAGGTTGAAGAGGCTTCTGGGGCTACTAAACAACTAACACAAAAAAAAATCAGTTTAAGGATAATGAATAGAGTGTCGGGTTAAACCATTGGTTCATATCTAAAAGTTCACCTTCTACAAGGTTTAGATTCCGATGGTTAAGCTCGCTCACTGAGAATGTCGTTAATTGTACTAAAAATTGCAATTGCCGTCGCTGCCTTTTAAAAAACGTTCAACGTCCCAGATTCAATTCAAATGACATAAATCAAAACGCTCGATTCACGATCAGCAGCTGCTTTGCTCAGTACTGATCTCTTTAACGTCACTATTTCACCTTCTCCGTGTTCAGCAAAGCCTTGAATAGCCAGGTTTATGGGTGATTAGATCGTGCTGAGTTTAGGAACACAAATCTAATGTCTTTCCCTCCTCCATGATCAACTTGATTTTGCAAGTGTAGGTGGGCTGGACAAAAAAAATGTTTTTTCTTTTTCCTCAAGGAAGCGTTGGAGCCTTTCTAGACCGATGATCAAAGCTTTAGAATTCATGCCGACACAGTTACATGAAGGCGTAAGTGGCCAGACCTATCGTCTGGTGTTAGATCGAAACATTTCACCGACGCTGTCAAGATGTTCTTTGAGGTCAAGCTAATGAGGAACATCGCCTGGTCAGTTGGAACCAACAATTCTTCTTATACATTTTATCTCATGCAGTAATGAGTATGTAGACATATATCATGTCGACACGACGTTCTGGGATCCTAATTTAATAGAGAACATCATTCTCTTTCTTATT